CTCTCTGCTTCCAGCTACGAAAGGGTGGCTTGGGTTTCCAAAACATGTTATTTGTTCAACCACAACGAGGCACTGCTCCTTGCAGCTAGTCACTGCAGGGTTGTCAGAGCTGTTGCTGGACGTGCAGAAGGGAGAGATGAAACATGGACCGAGGGCGGCAGCCAAACGGGATCCTCAAAACTTGTTTGCTGCTGAAATGGGAGAATTGAATATTTTTCCACTTAATCTGAAAATTGGCCTTGGTTTCCTGGAATGTTTCTCACCTCCTCTCAGCATCATCTACTGGAAAGAAGGCTCAAGAGAAAGTTGGGGAAGATCTATCAATGCAACACCCGAGGAAACCCACCCCGATACCTTCATTTCTCCATTTGTAAGCCCAGCATAACCATACCCGTGTCACCTTTTTCTTTAGAATAACATGAAAATGAATATGCAAAAGCATTCAGCTTTCAGAGAAAAGATGCTATGCAAATTTGAGGTGATCTCACTATTATAATAATAATTTTTTTTTTGCACTAAGATGAAATGTTTCCTTATCCTAAAGCCTTCCTACCAAGGTGGACTTTTTTCAACGTGGGTTTTTGTGATTTAAATTCACCAAGCACTAATAGTTTCCAGTTTATTTCAGTATTAAGCAGGAAAGCAGTTTCTGCATGAAATGTGAAAATTAAAATGCCATAGTAATGAAAAAGATTCCACATCCTCAGGTGGGTTTTGTAGGTGTGTACGTGTTTAGCTATGCACATCTCATATAACTTACATTGTACTTGTAATTCTTTTCTCAAATCCCAAATCTCTGAAAGCCCTTTCAAATCTCTATGTGATTAACTCGTCCAAAGGCTAAGTTGGATACAGATATTTTTTTCTCTTCAGGCTGAAGAAATCAAGACTGAAAGCTTTGGTTCATGTTTACTCTTCTATCATAAGTATTTTAAAAAGTATGATTAATATATATAATAACGAACAGGCACAGCTCCCCAGGGAGGCACACATATTAAAATGATTTACTCCACTCTCACCAGGAGAAGGTGGTCCATGCCACAGCAGAGCTCAGAGCATCTCAATCTCAGGCCTCGCCTCATCTGTGTGCTCTTTTACGTGCGGGTGCAGCCCACGTTGTGGTGTAATGCAAATCTATGGCTATACTGTATCACAGCGAATACATCCATTTGGAGGAAGAGGCACCTGGTGAAAGGCCACAATGCAATGGAATGCAATGCTGCTATGTTCAATGCTGCTTACAAGAAAACCTTTGAGTAAATATTGCACGGGTCAAACTTACGATCCAACTTTTTCACGTAACAGGGCCAAGTATTGGATGCCTTCAGAATCCCCATTCAGCGTGTCCACTTTGCTCTTTGATGCAATGCCACCTCACAAAAGCATTCGAGCCACAGTCATCTATTTTTTTTCCTTCTTTCTCCCCTTGCTATAATGACCCAAATCTCCCTTTTTATTTTGTAATTTTCATAAGTTTTTTAAGGCAATGACTATAATAATTCATGTTTGGTGAAATAATTATTTTGGTTGATGTATTTCATAGTTTGGTCTCTAAAAAAAGTTAAAAAACAACAACAAGAACCAAAAACAAACAACCCCCCCTCAAGCTTCCCTCTGCTTGATGCCATAGACAAGAGTCCAAAGGACATTAGCTGCTCCATTGCACACATTGGAAGGGAGAGTTTGCTGTGAGCTCAGTCCTTCTAATAGACTGGCAATTTTGTAAAAGGTTTAGAGAATTTTGTTTAACCATTTCTGCATGTGTTTTTAATGAGCTCATGATGGTTTGTAACAAAGGCCAGGTTGTGTGTTTTCCAGCACTTTCTGACCTGATTTCTCCCTGCTGACTTGGGGAGTGGGCACCTGTGCTTCTCTCCTGGCTCACCTATGGGAGTCGGGGTGGTGGGGCCATCTCCGGGCCTGTCTTCATGCCAGGGATGAATCATGTAGTAGGCAGAGTGGAAGGAGTCTCTTTGTTGACAGCTTTCCATCTGGACTTTGGATACGGCTGATGGTTCATGTAGAGCCTTGGTTCGCTGGAAGGGGCTACACGAGTCAGCTCCTCCTTAAGGGATCAAGGGTGTATAAAACATCAGGAAAGAATGCCCGGGATTTCATGTGCAAAGCTTAGAGAAGCGTTTTATCCTCTGAGTTTCAGGTAGCTGGGGTTGTGAATGTGTATGACTGCAGCTTTGACAGGTCGGTCTTTAATAGTCAATAGGATCATTTATAGCCTCGTTCAGATAATCCAACTGGAGTACACCTGAATAAATACATCAAGCTCAGGTGGCTAAAAGCTAACCCCTTTTGAGTTTAATAATTAAAATAAACAGAGCTATGAAGATGAATTTCAGTTTGTCATGCATAAATGTAAGAAGCTCCATAAAGGATGGTGTGCTGTGATTCATATAGGAGTATGATGGATGTATGATACGTTTTCCACAGCTATTTAAGAAAAAACGATTATCTTAGTCATGGGGTAAAGTTATGTGAAGCATTGCACCATCCAGGCTCTGTCTGGGCCAGTACAGATTTTTTTTCTTTTTCTTTTTCTTTTTCTTTTTTTTTTTTTTTTGTGAAAGATTACTTCTTGGCAAACTAGATATGCAAACGCCAGAATACAGTAAAACCACATTTAATTGGACCTACTTGCCAACTTCTTGAACACAGCTTGGATTATTCCACTGGAGGCTGCTTCTGTTAAAAGCTGGGGGAGGAGGAAGTGGCATATTGACAAGACTTCAGATAATTTTTTTCACTCGAAGTACAATTATGCAATGAGCCAAGTTTGGAAGTATTTTACTATGTTTAATAATTATTATTAAAGATATTGTAAAACATATGCATTTGTTAAGTGGAATGTAATGGGAGTAAAATCATGTCATCAATTTTCCTTTGGATTTATTTTCCCATTTTGTGTTTTATTTGACAGCCTTCCAAATTGATTCTAGCCAAAACCATGCACTCTAATATATATCATACTTGATATTAAAGTGAGAATGCGGGTAATTTATAGAATCTGAGTGAGAACAGTTTTCTTCTCTTAGCCAGCCTATATGGAGCTGCCACCTCTGCTCAGGTAGCAACCGACACATGCCTTGGACACAGAAAGGAAAATAATAGGGGTCGAGAAATCCTCCACACATTCTTCCTGATAGACGCTCCAGAACCCACATATCCCAGGCATTGTTCAGTGGGAGATCAGGGGCAAGGAGAAGGATAACTATTTCTTTATGTGTGTGTGAATCTAGAGGAACCAGACTCGTCTCTGGAAATGCAAGTGGGAAGTGGGATTCACTGAGAAGCCATCATTCTGCTCAGGGGAGTCCCGACTTCAGGCGAGGCATCCTAAAGGTGACACCACGATCCTTCACCTGGAAAGCTAAGGAGACATGACATCAGTGTGTTTCACATCCTAAGCTTAAACAAATGTATATTGTTTTTATCGCCTCTTTTTCAAGGGGGAACACTGCCCCTGAAACTGCACTCCTTGAAACCGAACAAAGGTGCCATCGCTAATGATTAGCAAGATGCTCCGGATGGTTTGCATCGAACTCCACCTGCTATGTGAAAACCCCATGCTTTTCTCACTTTCCCACGCAAGCTGCTTAGCAGTTGGGTCCTCTCCTCCGAGTGTGGTTATGTGTCGGTTTGACTTCTGCATGCCCTGTGATTTCATTGTTTTCTTCTGCCCTGCCACAGCAAATGACCAATGGAGGCAACCCGCCGACAGAGGAAAAGGGCAGGTCCCTGCATCCATCTCAGTGCCCTGCAGCGGGCGGCCTGTCCTTTCAGGCGGGAGTTCCCAGTGGCATTCCTAGGTGTTTTGAATGTGTGCCCCGGGCTGGGGAAAGCCTCGTGCAGCTCTGCTGCTGCGGGACGCAGGGGGGCTGGAGGGGACGGGAGCAGTGCGAGGCTTTCACGTGCAGAGGGGACACGAGGACATCTGGATGGCATCCCTGCGAGCAGGGCTCCCGCTGCAGGCCTTTGAAAACCCTGCTGCCCCGGCTCCCAGCGCCTGGGAACTTTCTCCCTGGAGAATGCAGAAAAGCCAGTGATTTCTTAGACATCTCCAGCTTCGCCACACGCAAGGTTGTCCAGGAGCAGTGAGGTTTGGGGTGAGGGCCTGAGCACTTTCTGAAAAGTGCTTGTTTCTCAGAACCTGGAACTAGGAGTGAGGAGTGACAGGAGCTCTGCCCTCGAGTCCTCTGATAGCCAGCTGTGCAGTCTTGAACAGGTGACTGCATCTCTTCATCTTTAAAATAAACCTTTTGGGCCAAATGACTCGAAGATTTTTCCAACTCAATTTTTTTTTTTTTTACCTGTTTAACTGAAATGCTGATTGAACTTGGGCTGGGAACAAAGAAATCTTTTCTAATTAGAGTAGAAATGATGACTAATACACTGCTCAGGCTTCTGAGGCTCACTGGGATCAAAGGCACACTCACTTGGATAAGGGAGGGCACGGACTGGCCTGCTGAGCGTTTCCACCAGCCTTTGGGTTTTAATATCTAACTATGGTTATGCCCACACATGCTGGCCATGTGCTAGACACATGCTTCCTTGTCTTTGCTCAAGTCTAGTGGCTTTTGGTTTATTTGTATTTTTTAATAGGAGAAACCTGAGAGATCCTAAGTAGATATTAGGCAAGAGCTTGTCTAGTTCCATGTTTTGTTTTGTTTTGTTTTGTTTTGTGTATTTTGTTTTGAGATAGGGTCTTGCTCTGTCACCTAGGTTGGAGCTCAGTGGTGCGACTGTGGCCCACTGCAGCCTCGGACTCCTGGCTCAAGCCCTCCTCCCATCTCAGCCTCCTGAGTAGCTGGGCCAACAGGCATGCGCTTCCTGGCTAATTTTTTTTTCTTAATTTGTAGAAATAGGGTTTAGCCATGTTGCCCAGGCTAGTCTCAAACTCCTGGGCTCAAGCGATCTGCCCTCCTTGTTCTCCCAATGTGCTGGGATTATAGGCATGAGCCACCGAGCCCAGCCCAGTTCCATGGTTTTTAAAAAATGTTAAACACCTACCTTTAAGAAAGATGATGAGGCAATATCACCTTTGTTTTCGTTGCTGTCGATTAGAGAGAATGACTCCTAAGGAGTCTTGGTTGGACAGCTCCCCGTCACCTTCCCCGACAGGGCCTTACCTATGGAAAGGCTAATTCTGGTAGACAGGCAGCTTCAACAGGAAGTGGCACACCAAAGACCGTCGCTTGTGGATGTGGTTCATGGGATGTGGAGTGTCCAAGGGGATGCTGATAGGCCTAAAGATCAGAGATCATTTGACTTCTGTAGATTGTCAAAAGAGAACACATCACAATTGCAAATGGACTTTAAAATGAGAGAAAACCAAATTTCTAGTGACAATCAGAAAAACGCCACAATCCACCATGGACAGCCACACCACCGACCTAGTCATTCTTTTATATTTCTAGCTTGTACTTAATCCATTCCAGCATGGAGCATAACGCTACCAGTGTTCTGTGAAGAAACAGTCCAAGAGAATGATTGCAGTCTAATTTGCATAAGAGTCTAACTCAAATATTTTCACTTTTTTTTTTTTCATTTTGAAGTCACAAAGTAAAATGGTTGAGGAATTTAAGATTAGCATGTAAGCGAGACTGAAATAGGACTATGTTCTCATATTAGTTAAAACTCTTTGGTTGCAAGGAAGAGAAATCCAACTTAAGAGAGTTTAAGCCAAAAAAGAATTTTATTATAAGGCTACTTGGATTCAATGGAATCCAAAAGAGGAATATGGCTAGGCCTTGCAAGCAGCTAGAACTAGAAGCTCAAATGCCGTCTGGATGTGCTCTCCTCTCCTTGCCTCTGATTCTCTTTCTGCTGATTGGCATTTTCTATTCCTCAGTCCACATGGTGGAACAGGGCTGCCAACTGCTTCTGCATTTACATGCCTTCATTTTCAGACACCCAGAGAGAGAGACTGACTTCTTTTGTCAGTTGCAGTTCCCAAATCCTGGGGGAGGGCTCTGATTGGCCCGTTTGGATCAGGTGCCCACCTCTTGACCAATGGTCGGTGCCAAGGGCGAGGCCCGTTGTAGCGAAAGTTAGTTTCCCATGGTGCCATATTGAAGGCAGTGCCTATGCACGGGGGCACGGGGGCACGGGAGCAGGGGAGACAGTTCCCCAGAATGCGGCTGGTGCTGAGCTGACGAAGCAATGCGGGCTCTTTACATTTCTCAACAAAAATTAAAGGGAAATGAGGAGAAAATATTATTTCTTTGGAAGTGAGAATAGTATATTCTCCCTTTTGGTGTTTCCAGAGTTCATTTCTAACCCATGGCCAAATGGTTAAGGGAAATCTTTTTTTTTTTTAAGTACAGTAAAATATTAATTACTTTTCACTTAACTTGGCTTATCTAATCTTTTTGCCTTATGACCTTACAGTCTTGGAGCATGTTCACATACACTTTTCTGAAACCCTTAGTTGGTTCATGCCGCGGAGGCCGTGGGACTCAGTTGCTGAGCCGACCCTTCAGCTTTTTACTATTGATCCAGGTGCCCCGTGGGTGGGACAGGGGGTGACCAGACAGCTGCACCCAGGAACGAAGAAGGCATCTCCCCTTTCCCCGTGTTCTGAAGACTCTGTGGCACTGAAGAGCTCTGTATTCACAGCAGGGATGGAATACGTGTTCTCCACCTAGAAACACTGGAATCCAGGAGGCAAGGGCGTGGAGGAGTCGAGAGCATCAGTGTTGGTTAGTGGGAACCAGGCCCTCTGAGCCTGAGCACCCGGGAGTATCAGCCAGGGTACCGGCTACTGACAAAGTCACACTCCCCTTCTCTTGTGCTTTCAGTGCCACTGTCTGAAAATGAAGCTGTCCCTTAGAAGGTCCCTCCTTCCAGCCCCTGGGTGACCTGGCTTTCCTGAGCCAAGAGCAGAGAACCACTGTTTCATTTTTTGTTTATTTAAATTTTTTTAAACTTTTTTTTTTTGTATTTTTAGAGATGAACTCTTGCTATGTCACCCAGGCTGAAGTGCAGTGGTGTGATCATAGCTCACTGTAACCTTGAACTCCCGGGCTCAGGTGACCCTCCTGCCTCAGCCTCCTGAGTACATGGGATTACAAGTGCATGCCACCATGCCCAGCCCCACACAGTTTTTTGTTTGTTTGTTTTTTGTTTTTTTTCTTGAGACGGAGTTTTTGCTCTTATTGCCCAGGCTGGAGTGCAGTGGCGCGATCTTGGCTCACTGCAACCTCTGCCTCCCGGGTTCAAGTGATTCTCTTGCCTCAGCCTCCCGAGTAGCTGAGGCTACTGTATTTTTAATAGAGATGGGGTTTCTCCATGGGGTTTCTCCATGTTGGTCAGGCTGGTCTTGAACTCCCAATCTCAGGTGATCTGCCCGCCTCAGGTGCTAGGATTAGAGGCGTGAACCACCGCGCCCGGCCCATAGTTTGTTTTAAATGGCAGACACAGGCTGGGCTCTGTGGCTCATGCCTGTAATCTCAGCACTTTGGGAGGCTGAGGCAGGAGGATTACTTGAGCCCAGGAGCTCAAGACCAACCTGGGTAACATAGTGAAACTCTGTCTTTACAAAAAAAGCCAAAAAACAAAAAACAAAAATTAGACAGGTGTGGTGGTGTGCACCTGTAGCCCCAGCTACTCAGCGGGCTGAGGTGGGAGGATCGCTTGAGCCTGGGATGTTGAGGCTGCAGTGAGCTGAGATGGTGCCACTGCACTTCAGCCTGGGTGACAGAGCAAGAACCTGTCTCCAAAAATAAAATAAATAAATAAAATAAATGCTAAACACCAGTTGTCTGGATGTGTGGCTCATCACTCTTTAGGTACTCATGGTCCCATCACTAAAGATGCAAAATAATCAGAATCCAGACATGTAAGAGATTGAAGGAAGCTCCTGTTTAGAATTAGGTCCTCAAGGTCAATGTGGGGACACATTGATTCAGGGTGTCACAGACTCTGGAGGAAACAAATGGGGACATTTCAGGCACCATGGGTTTTGTTGTTGCTGTTTGTGCTCTGTGCTCCAATTCGTTTTTTTTTTCTTTTTGATGGAGTCTTGCTCTGTCACCCAGGCTGGAGTGCCGTGGTGCGATCTCTGCTCACTGCAACCTCCACCTCCCGGGTTCAAGCGATTCTCCTTTCTCAGCCTCCTGAGTGGCTGGGATTACAGGCGTGTGCCACCACGCCCAGCTAATTTTTGTATTTTTAGTAGAGATGGGGTTTCACTATCTTGGTCAGGCTGGTCTTGAACTCTTGACCTCATGATCTACCCGCCTTGGCCTCCCAAAGTGCTGGGATTATAAGCGTGAGCCACTGTGCCCAGCCTGCACTCCAAGTCTTGTGATTTGTATTCGGAAGGCTTTTGGGCCTGACATGGGACTGCTGTCTCTCTTCAGGCCTTTGTTGATCTTCCCGCCTGCCTGCTGCGTGGATGGGGTGCAGATCCCAGTCTGCCCACTTCACCATGATGAGAGCTTGGGCACATGACAAGGTCCCTTGAACCCCAGTTCCTCACTAACATAGGGATTTCAGCAACTCTCTCTCCGAAAGAGTTGCTTTCTGAGAAAGAGTTGCTCATGAGGACGTGTGAGTTGGTACCTTTTGAGCAGCGGAAGCTTCATCTCTGCTAGGATCCTTTCAGTCACAGCTGACCGAAAACACACTCAGACTAGTGTGAAGAAAGAAGAGACTTGATTAACTCACACGACCAGGAAGCCCAGGAGTGGCGCTGGCCTCAGGGGTGACTGGACACAGGGGCTGAAGATGACACTAAGTTCTTTCATTCTCTGTTTGCCTTCCCCACCCTATTTTCATGGGTTCGCTCCTGTATTTCTGGCTGAAAATGGGTTTTCCTCACATGATGGGGGAAGCTTGCCAGAGTTGGAAATGGAACTAATTTAGAGGGGAAATGTTGGTGAAGTGGCTACTGCACACTTGGGCCTGGGGATACAGCAGTTCCTGCCCTCATGGAACTTACCAGCCAATGAAACAATGAAACAAAAAATTACCATAAAGTATCATGAGCGTTACAAACGTGAAGTGAACCGCAAGTGGGACCACACTGTAAGTGGAGTCCGACCCGGCTGATGTGCCAGAGAAGACTCTTCAGAGGAAGTGGCGGGAGAAGAGTCAGCCTATAAATAAGGGGGTGGAACAGTGTTTTGGGCAGAGGGATCAGCACGTGCGAAGGACCAAACAGAGAACTGGGCACATCTGAGGAACCTGCCAGATCTTTCTCAGTCCAATCGGCCTGGACAGAGCACTACGGGAAGGGTGCTTCTCCCAGGGCTGCCAAACAAATCACCACCAACTGGGTCGCTTCAAACAACAGACCTCTATTGTCTCATTGTTCTGGAAGCAAGAAGTTCAAAAAAAATTAAGAATCTGGCAGGGCCATGCTCCCTCCAGAGGCTCCGTGGGGGAGTCATCCCTTGCCCCTGAAGTTCCAGTGTCTGGTGGTTCCAGGGATTCCTTGTGGCTGCACCACTCCAGTCTCTGCTTCTGTCTTCACACGGTCTCCTACTCTCTGTTTGTGTCTTCTCTTCTGCCTTTTTTCTTTTCTTTTTTTGCGACAGAGTCTCACTCTAGCACGCTGCCTGGAGTGCAGTAACATGATCTCGGCTCACTGCAGCCTCCGCTTCCTGGGTTCAAGTGATTCTCCTGCCTCCTGGGTTCAAGCGATTCTCCTGCCTCAGCCTCCCGAGTAGCTGGGATTACAGGCGCCGCCATCACAGCCGGCTAATTTTTGTATTTTTAGTAGAGACGGGGTTTCACCATGTTGACCAGTCTGGTCTCCAACTACTGACCTCAAGTGATCCTCCTGCCTCGGCCTCCCAAAGTGCTAGGATTTCAGGCGAGAGCCACTGTGCCAGGTCTCTCTTCTGCCTCTTAAAGGACACTTGTCATTGGATTTAGGGCTCACCTGGGTAATCCAGGATGATCTTCTCATCACAAGATATTTAACTTAATGGCATCTGCAAAGACCCTTTTTCCAAATGGGGTCACATTCAGAGGGTCTGGTTGTTAGGTGTGGACATACCTCTTGGGGGAATCACCATCCAATCAAGAGAGACGCTGCTGGGCTGGTCAGCCAGGCCAGATCCTAGGGGATCTGGGCCTCACCATAGAGCAGGAGAAAAACATTTCATTTTGCACTCCAGAAAGAACACTATGGTTGTGGAAGTGCCATGTGAGATGCAAGCAGGATGGCTGGCCTGTCAGGAGAGGACCGCTGTGGTCCAGGTGGGAGGTGATGGAGGAATGGGCTGAGGCAGCAGCC